AAATATATAAAATAAATAGCCTTTTCTTTGCTAAAAAAAAATGTTTAAGGAAATTGGGAAATTTTTAATTTGAAATTTGATTTAGTTTAAGTTCTCGGCTGAATGTTTTTAAATAATTTTATAATAATTACTGACTAGCAGTTAATGAAGAAAATAAAATAAAATATAGTTATGTATACAAAATAAAAGTCAAATAAATTACAAATATAAAAAATGTCGTGCAACATTAAGTACATTGAATATTGTTTAATAGAAAAACTCATTAAAATTGACTAAATTGCTTCATTGAATATAATTGAAAGTTAGTGTATATCATAACATTATATATTATAATTTACTCTTAACTTTTCTTTTTCTCTCATGCAAATGGAAGACTTTTGCGATTCTTGCTGTGGTCTTAAAAAGTTTTCAACTTTAGCTATGCCTAACTCAAGTTGTATATAATATTCTATATGTAATATTTTAATATTATTTATTTTAATATTAATTATGTTTTTGTTTTTTCCGTTTTCATTTGAAAGCTCATTTGGTACACCATTTGCAGTTGAAATGCAATTTATTTTAGCATTTATATATATATTCTTGTATTTATATAAACTTTAGATTATTTTTAATTTAATTATTTTAATTTCGATTTGTGACAGAGGAAAACTAGCTGGCAGCATCATTGTTGCTATCGGCGGCATCAAAGCTACAGCGCAACATTGCTGCCGCAACAATGTTGCTGCTGCTAGGCCCATTGCAGCTATCGGGCATGTTGTTATTGCTGCTGTTGCTGTTGTTGCTGCTGCTGTTGCTGCTGTTGCTGCTACTGTTGGACAAACTGCTGCAACTAGTTACAACATTTGTTGTTGTAGCTGTTGCAGTTGCTGTTGTTGTCGTTGCTCCCGATGCGCCTGTTGCTGCTGCTGCTCCTGTTGCTGCTGGTGTCCCGCCCGTTTGCAATGCCAGCATCTGTTGCGCCTGCGCAACGCACGCAACACACGGACAGGGCCCGCCCAATTTCTTCGCCAATATGGAGCGCAGCTTCAGCGCTGGACCCAGCTTCATGCCCAGCGAGCTAACCAAATGTTCTTCGGTTAGCAGCGGCAAGCCCGTGCCATCGATGCTCTGCTCACGAAAGTGCTGCAAGCGGGAAGACAGAGATAGGGAGAGAGAGAGAGAGAGCAAAGAATTAGTTGGAAGCTTATAAAATTTATGCAGGCAACATGCAGGGCGTATGCCTGTGTGAGTGTGTGTATGTGTGTGTGTGATTAATGCGCTGCTTTTAAAATTGTTAATGAAAAACGATTTTTAGCTGCTGCTGGTGCTGGTGCTGCCCCCGGTGAAGATCGAGCGCAGTAGCATTTTCATATTTGCAGCGCACGACGCCAACAGCGATTGAAAGTGGGCAGCAAAGTTGCAAGTCGCGAGTCGCAAGTCGCAAGTTGGAAGCAAGCTGCTGCCTGCCCCTCCACATGAGATTTCTATTATAGATTGGCCCTGATTGAATTCCATGGCCGTGGCCGTGGCCGAGGCCGAGGCCGCTGTGGCAGCCGCAACCTGTTTGCCACACAGCTGCCACAGCGTCGGGAGCTGCGAGCTGCCGACTGCCAAGCGAACTGCCACTGTGCAGCAAGCGGAAAACCAACGCCCGCTCCTTCCGCTGCTGCCCTCCCTCTACATGCTGAAACAAATATGTGCAACGTGCCCTAAACAAAGTTCAGACCCAAATCTCATTTAAGTTTTCTGGCTTAATCAATTATAGAGAGTATGAACAGCGCGAGAGGAGACGACTTCACAGAGGCTTAGTCAAGTGGGTTTAGGGTAATCCGGTTGAGTTGTATATTTACTGGCACTCTTTCTCTTCTAGTGGCCATTGAGAGAGCGAGCACGCATTTCCTTGTTCAGGTATTCCCCAGTGGGGCACTCCCGATAAGGGAACTCTTATTGTTGTTATTAAATCAATATTGCTCTATTAAGAAAGATGTCGCTTGCTAATCTCGCGTCTCTCCCACGTCAAAGAAGAATAGTCCAAATAAATTACGTCCAAATTTCCTTCATATATAAGAAATGAATATAAATATTCATGAATAACTCGTGAAGAGCATTCATTTTTGTGCAGTGATCGTTTTATGGGCGCAGCGTTTCACGGTGATTTCGAGATGGCGCTGTGGAGGACTCAGATCGAAATCGATTGGCGGCCCGACAATGCGATTCGATGCACTGAACGGCCGTCATCTATATATAAGAGAGAAAACAGGGCGGCTGCTGTTTAGAGTCTATTTGGGATCATGAGGACCCGGCTGAGCATTCGCATACTGGCCCTGGGACTGCTGCTCTGGCAACTGCAGGCCACCGCGGTGCGGGCCCAGAAGTACTACATGAATTTTGCGTTCAACAACAACAATCCCAACGATGGATCGAGCGGGGCGGAAGTCACGCCATCTGGCAGCCATAGCGGGCAGACCAGTCCTGATCCGGGCAGTGGTGAAAACGGTGGTGCCGGTGGCAGCACTGACAATAATAGCGGCAATACCGCCAATACTGACGGTGGTGACAATAGTGGCAGCGGTACTGGCGGTGGCGGCGGTGGCGGGAGTGGCGGCGGTGGCGGCGAAGGATCCAATCAAGGTGTGGATGGTGATAATGGCAGCGGTAATAATTCTGGCAAAGAAAAGAGTAAAGAGGATGGACAACGATTCATGGATGAAGATGACGACGACAGTGATAGCCACGATACGCCGGATCGACGCGCCAAACTGCAGCAGGCGGCAGAAAATCAAAACAGGCCGGCCAACGATCACAGCCATCACAGCAGCTATGAGATCAGCATCGATGATAGCTTCGGCGGCCGATATGTTCGCTCCATATACGAGAGCTCTGAGAGTCATGGCCACTCAGGCAGCAATCCGCGCTCGGGATCTCAGCAAAATAAAGCGGATAGTTCCGGCAGCAATTTAAAGGAGACGGGAGGTAAAGACAGGTTGTATAATGACGACGACTACGAGGAATTCATCGAGCACTAGGGCTTACTGGTCTAGGTAATCACTCGCACTGGCGTTCCCTCTCTCTCTCTCTCTCTCTGTGTTCCTCTCCCTGTCGCCCTCCCTTCTCCTTTATGTTGCCTGCATTTGTTTTCTAACGTTGCTCTTTCATGCAGATCCTCAAACGGAAATCCACAGCCCAATGACTTTACAATTAATGAATTTTCGCCCATTAAAAATTGTATAATTAATAAAGGAATTGTCTTAAAATTACTGTGTTTTCACTTAACAGTTAAATCAAACCCGAAATCAACTCTACATCCTTCAGCTGAGCGTAGGTCAATGGAATTTTGGACAGCGTAGCTGTGATATATTAAAAAAGATGCTGATAGAGCTAATTGAAATCGTATTTACAGACTTTTCAGCTTAGATTTGACTAGAGTTAGGGTGCAATCATCTAAGGAAGTATTCAAGTGATATTCACAATATTTTTACCTCAAATAAATATTTATTACAAATATTAAATTAAATAGAAACAAGACTTTTGTATTCGGAGTCTTGAGAAGTTTATCGATTGATTTTAACTAGCAAATGCAATTCATGTGTTGCTACTGTGCCTTGGAATCATTCGACAAGTGGACCATCGACATCGATGCCAAGGCTCTGGGTCATCATGACCGTTAAAGTTCCAATGACGAGCAATACAAATTGATTTAAGTTTTATGGGCTGTGAGCAGCTGGCCCACAATGATGATTAGATATCATAATCAGCGCAGGGTAAATATCATTGGTTGCGGTCAGGAGGCGAGCCTATAAAGAGAACCCACGGCTGAGGCGTGTCCACCAGTATCGACTTGGTGGTCATCAGTAGTAGCAATGTTGCTCTGTTGCTGGTGGACAGCTTTGCTGCCCTTGGCGGTGCTGGGTCAAACGTACTATATTAATTTCGTATTTAACAACTATCGGACTGCAACTGACAATTCAAGCGAAGAAAATGTAATTAGATTAATGAACCTCACCAACAGCACGCAAAGCGGTTCAAACCCATACGTATCTGACCAATCAGACAGTCATGAATCAGAAAGTGGTAGTGACACTACTGGTGAAGGTATTATATAGCTGAACGGTGATATCAACAATATCAATACCAATGCATATCCATAGAAAATTTGCATCATCAAACCGACAAGATAGCAACAAGTACTACAGACGCAACCACGACAACTGATGAAACTATTGGAACAGGCACTACTGAAACAGGCAAAAATGAGACAGGTATGGATGGAACAGGTGGAACATGATGAAGCACGCAATAATGGCATAGACACTGATTAAACAGGCAATACTGGAACAAATACTGGTGGAACAGGCAATGGTACTAGCATTGGTGGACTAGGCAATGGTACAGACAATGGAGGAGCAAGCACCGCTAGTACAAACACCGTTCCAACAAAAACACCTATTGGTGGACTAGGCAATGGTACTAGCATTGGTGGACCAGGCAA